ACCTCTCCATTCTCCTCACTCCCCAATCCACCACCCGGCACCTCCGCTGGACTGGCACCGGCCTCCTGCTCGCCCCTCACGCCCTCTGCTCCACTGTTGGATGTCTCGCATTCAGTCATTATGTCTCAAAACTCTGCAACACTCTCCCTCAATCCCTCCGACTTGCCCCTTCTCCTTTTTCAAGCCCCAGCTGAAAATCTTCCTTTTCGACCGTGCTTACAGCCACCTCCCACCCCCGGCTCGGAGTCAGGCTCTGCCACTGTTAAGTGCTCTGAGACGCTACCCTGTGTGGAGGGCGCTATATAAGTGCAAATTATTGATGCTGTTGTTGCAAAGAGTGCACTAATTTCCCTGCTCGAAGCAAGGCAATCTGTATTTAGAGGACAGTGTCATGAAGGGTAGGTGTTTGGAAGTGGAAAGAAGTTAGATACACCGTTGGAGATTGTTCTTTGGGAGGCTTTTCACAGCAGGGAGAGGGATTGAGAGAGGAATAGAGAAAGAGAGAGACAGGGAAAGAAAGCCTGAGATAAAGATTTTTTTTGCAGTCAGTGAAAACATAAGAGATCATAGAGACCACCCTAACGATCCTTGTTTTTCTTTAAATACAACAGGCGACAGTTATTAAGCGTGTATTAGTACTAGGTGGGAATTCATAAAATAACCATAAGTATTTACCATGACATTGAAAAACTGAACTGTAACAAGCAGTTTGCGACCTTTAATCTACCGGTTTTGTACACATTGATACGTGTTTCGCCCACAAAATGTACAGTCAATTCACTTTATAGTATATTCTGTGAGGTGCTTTGAGACGTCTCAAAGACATGATAAGGCGCTATATCAAATGCAAGGATTATCATCATCATTATTATGCGCGCGGCTAGTTTTACATCCAGTCTAGCTGTTTGTGCCAGAACATTCTGAAAAGCCGCGCAAGAAATCCTCCACATCGAAGAATTAACAACTACGATGCAATCACAGCATATTTACTGAGTGATTATCAGTAGGTTTATTTCATTATTCTCCTATCACATCACTTTTGAAATGCTGTCAGCAACGCAGCGGAAAGCCAGCATGAAAAATGCAAATATAGACGCACCACAGTTTATAATGTATACAGATTTATGTAACAATGCAGGAGAATGATTATTGCAGGACACAAGTCATTTATTCTAAGTGTAGAAATTAAATCTATACATAATTTGGCTGGATTACTTGCTTTCAACCACACCTTGGGTCACCCTCCTACCCCTACCTTCCCTATCCCATCCCCATGCTCAGGAACAAATCCCTGACTGTCCAGAAAGCTTTATTTTAAATGGTGTCAACAAAGGAATATATTTATAATATCAATATAATAATCCTCGCATTTTATATAGAGCGTTATCGCGTCATTGAGACATCTCAAAGCGCTTCCCAGAATATACTGTAACGTGAATTGACTGTATATTTTGTGGGAAAAATGTGGCAGTCAATTGCACACTTCAGTGTCCCACAGGCAGTTGTGGATTGAGTGACCAATTTTTTTTCTTTTTACATTACTGTCCATTCCTAAAAAAAAGGCTGCTAGTGAAATGAGGAGGACACTATACAACATGTTTTTTTCTGCTTGCGAAAAACTTTCTTTCAGGGGGCTATTTACAATCACCACTACCACAAATTTCCGCATATATATATATATATACACACACACACAGAGGACATTTTGCATCAGGATGTCCCAAGGTGTTCCTTTCCTTACATAACTACATTTGCTTCTTACACTGTTTGCAGCTGTTCAACTTCAATAAAAAACAAATCATTATTCACGTCACTTTTAAAATTGATCGATATTCAAGGCCAAGATGTTTAGGTATGTGTATGGTAAATGATTTACAAGCAAGGAATGATTTCACACCAGTCATCTCATTCAGAGATCAGAAGGGGTCATTAATCATCAGAGAAAAACTCAACTTTTGAATCCCAAGATCAAATTACTTCTAAATCTTTATTTTCAAATTATATATACTATACAGCACTATAGAGTTGGTAGATATTTTTATTCCCTTTTTAATAAATCTGTATTTTGCTGAAGGCGAATGTTATGACAGACATCGACTGGCAAAACACTCCATCTTGGTTATGGCAATTTCTGCAATCGAGGAATAAGAATTGTGAATTACTTCACGTTTGGAGTCGATAATCAGAAAACAATCAGAATGTCTTCTGCTAATGGTGCTTGTTTTCAGCTCATTTCACTCAGTAGATAAGATTGATATATTTTATATATCAGGAGCATTGCAGGAAGCATAATAAAACCTACAATACATACACACTGTTTGGCTTTCGTAATTATCTCAGAAACTATGCTAGTTTTAATGACGCATTCACCTTAATCTCTTGTGGTATGATCTAACATATTCCCCCATTCAATACATATTCCGCACCACCAGTTTTCTATACTAAACTGAACATTTCTACCCATGTGCCAGTTTCTGCTGCATTTTCGTGGTTTGACTTTCATCATCATTTGTCACTCCTTCCAAATTTCCCTCTTCTCCCTCGTGTAGGCATCGAGCCTTCTCTGAAATGCGCTGATGCTTTCCGCTTCAGCCACAGCATTTGGCAATGAGTTCCACATTCTCACCATCCTCTGCGTGAAGATGTTCTTCGTAAATTTAACCTCACATTTGCTAGATCGGAGACTTACACGTCTGCAATTTAAAGGCCCCTGCCCAGTCCCCTTTCTTTAAAAGGACATCCCACGTACTACTTTTACAATGCTCTCCTCTGAGATTTCTCCCACAGCGCACCCACCACCCCCCCCCCTCCCCCAACAAATCAAGCAAACTCCAAACATTGCTGTGAGTGGACTCACAAATCACCTGAGTTAATTCCTTTAGGAACCTGGGATGAAAGTTGTCAAGAAGTCAGGAATTTCTGTAACTTCCCCAATTCTCCCTCGTGATGAAGATTTAAGGTCACATCTTGTGATACCAGCCTTATTGCTGCTATTGCGCGCTCTCTCTCTCTCTATTTTATTTGTGAACAGGGTTGCAAAACTGCCGTTAATGATTTGAGCGGCTTCCAGATCCTCCCACACATCATCTTTCCCCTCATCATTTCTTGCTGTGATTCTTTTAGAAATTTTTCCATTAAATAAATACTCAGGTATGACAATTTTTTTTCACAAGTCAATATCTATTCAGTGTCTAAAATACAAAAAGAAATGCATAATCTTCTGATATCTCCAACTGATGGGCGCACTGATTTGCTGCTTAATTCAGAATTTAATGTATTTTTATTTTCAATCTGTTGCGTCAATGTCATGGATGGCATTAATATCTATCATATTTTCCCAGTCATTTTCCTTTATGCTACATACTATATTTTTTCTTACTATATCGCAGTGATAGCTCTTCCTATTATGAGGCAAGTTTCACTTAATTTAAATATATTGTACTGTTTAACAGGCTCCTAAGACACAATTTCTTAACTGATCCCTTGGCAGTAGAAATGAATATTCTACTTAACACAATGCTGCTTAAAAAAATATATTTTAAGATCAAGAAATTAAAATACCCTCTGAGGAGGAATAACTGAAAGGGTGGTGGAAGTAGATTCAATAATAACGTTCAAAAAGGAATTGGATATTTACAATATTTGAAACAAAAAAAATTGCAAGGCTTTTAGGGAAAGAGCGGGGGGAGTGAGGCGAATCGGGATAGTTCTTTCAAAGTAGCCAGTATGGACACGATTGGCCAAGTGGCCTCCTTCTGCGCTGTATAATTCTATAATTCTTTGATAATGAAAAACAATGTTCATTAACAACACCTTACAAATGTTCTTTGGGGGGGGCGGGGGAGGAGAGAAAAAACCCCATCCTTTCTTGTCAGAAACATTTTCTGTCGCATGCACATCAACTAGCTATTTAATTCCGTCTTGGGTATCGATTTCCATAACCTCACTCCAAACGTTTTGTTTGAAACCAGGCCAGTTGTTGTATTAACAAAAATTAAAAAATAAAAATAATAAATTGGGTAACTTCAATCCACGACTGTTTGCGGGGACGCTGCTGTGCACAATTGGCTGCCGGGTTTGCCCACGAAATATACACTCAATTCACTTTACAGTATATGCTGTGAAGTGCTTTGACATGTCTCGAAGACGTGATAAGTCGCTATATCAAATGCAAGGATTATTATTATTGTTATTAAACAAAATTCAAAATTGTAATCCATCAAATTAAGTTCACAGCTGAATCATACCCCTGACCAATCGTTGCACGTTTAAACCCTGGATATTCTTTTGTACAATCTGAAAGCAAAGCCTTCGGAAATGATGAATTCCTGCGGAATGAATGCCTATTCTCCCCTCAAAGATTAGCAGAGAGATAAGCCTGCAAACTCTCTTCCACAGCTTTGTGCACCCAGAACATGTAGCACGTGTTTTTCTGGCCTTGTTAAAAACAGTACTCGGGGCTTCAGGCACAGATTGTTTAAAAACGCCTTCCAGTGCAGAAGAGCTCAAACTTTCTGAGACTCTTTTGGGTGCTTTTTGAAGGTATTTTTAATATGGAGACAAGTACCTCGGCAGGCGGACTGAAATAAAATGTATCTAAAGAAGCTGCAATACTGGTTTTATCCCGCGGGTGGGAAATGCCACTCTGAGTTAGTCATCGGGCATCATTAATTCTCTCTCCAAATCTCTCCTGCAGGAAGGTATCGAAGCAACATGCTCCAGAAGTCACCAGAAATGGGAAAATGCGAGTCTTCGCTCATTTGCGGCGCTCCAATCCACTGTGGGGGTTTGTCACCATTTAGTACAGAAGTCAACGCATTCTACACGCACTAGGAAAGCCTCGTTTGGAATTGGAGTTGAAGCAGAAATTCGCTGAAATGAAGGAAAGTGGAGTCTTGCTGTGTGATTGATGTGTTCTGAAATGATAATTCAATCTAGCCATCCATTTTTCACTGGAAGGCCACAGACCTCATCTGTGTTATTGAATAGAAATGTCTTACCATGCATGGCATGTTTTGGGCCAGACAGTAGTCTAACGAGTGCCCAGAAGGCATCCTCTTCATTCAGATACATAAGAAGCAGAGCAGTGATCTGACTCATTCCCTGGCAGTATCCGACTTCCTGCAGTTCAACAAAATGAGACAAAACAATGAATTAGCAATACTCATTTAGAGGCAATTTACTCACTTCCTCTTTGGAAAATTAATTGTTTCTTAAAAATATTTATTTAAAAAAAATTATTCGGCATGTGGAATTAAAAAAAAACACTTTCTCCCTTTCTTGAATATGAGGAATAAGCCCCAATAAGACGAGTGATACAACAGCAATTTTGAGCAATTTAAAATTGACGCTAAATAATAAATGATGTTAATGGAACATGCATTGCATTTTCGCTGCACAAATCAGCTTTAAAAGTAAGATTCTGTCTGGAACATGTGTCAGCGTAAGCACAAAACCCCAGAATTGCTATCGTAATGTGAAAATTCACTGTACAAACATTCATTTTGTTATTAACAGCAACACAGCTGGACTGAGCGTTATGCGGGCACATTTCCTACTGTGTACTGTGCATCAGGGAATGCACTTCATTTACAAATCAAACAGTTGAAGCATCACCAAATTAGGTGGATTGCATAAGAATATAAGGCACACAAAAAGAAAAGATTATTTGGCACATCAAGCTCTTCTTCCCAGACTTCATGCAGTCTGTATATATTCTATGTAAAACCTGGCTAGTAAGTCTGATATCCGTGGAGGGAAAATATTGATAGGCATTCTGATAAAGCACCTTAAAGAAATATAAAATTATAAAGATTCCGTATGGCTTTTATATGAGGGCAAAGGTGCAATGACCGACCTATTGTGAGCGCTTTGAAGAAATAATAACTGTGCATAGGGGGAATTTGTTAAATCATTAGATTTAGATTTTAGCAAACCCTTTGACAGTGCTACATGGGAGATTGAGCCACAATGTTGAAAGATATGAAAGAGGTTGAAGGGAAGAGATTCTGAGGTCCTTTCCAAATTCCATGGGAGGCTGTTCAGCATCATTCTGTATTTTGTCATGAGTTAAGAATTAGGTTCTGAAATTGTAATTGAACAGCTTCTGAAGATACAGTTCTGTTTCAGCGCCTTAGGACGTCCTTCCAATGTAAAAGGCGCTATGTAAATGTAATTTGTTTTTGCTGTTGAAAACTGACTTTATTATTTGTAAAACTAATCAGAGAAAATACAACGAATAAATATTATGGTGGGAGAAGCGATTGTTTTTCAAACATTTAAAACGCATTTGTTTATAGTAAACGTGCACTTAAAATATCTGAAGTATACTCCAGATTGAACTCTCCCTTTGTGGCTAACTCCCCTCTCAAAGTCAATGCTCCAATGCTTTATATAAAAAAAACACTGCTAGGATTTAGTGCTTTTTGAAAACATAGTGAAAGAATAGTTTTTTGTTCTGAAAATGTTCAATATGCAGAATTTTACAGCATGAACCACAAAGGTGATCATCGGTTTTCATGCATAAAATATCGACTTGGGGGGAAAAACAACACTTACCGTATTATACATGGAATATGCAGCTAATACATGGAACAAGGCTTGTTGTCTGTGGGGGGGGGGGGGGGGGGGGGACGGGGGACGAGACAAAAGCAAAGAAATTATGTGTTATTGCATCTGAATCCAAACATAGCACATCATTGAATGAGCACATCTCACAGGAATTTGAAATTGAGCTGTGTGCAGTATGCCCACAATGGCACTTATAAGTAATATGGTATCACCGTTAGATGTGCTTGTGAACATCTGCAGGAATCCAGAAACACATCAGAAGGTACCGCAAGACCCTACTCAAGAGAGCTAAAGGAAACAAAACCGCACATTACAAAGATTGCTCTGTAGGAAGAGCCGCGCATTAATTGCAAGCCTCAAAGATTTATCAATAGATCTCGATGGTACAAAGTGTTTAACATTACTTGGTAAATATTGCGAGCGGGGCAAAACAAAACACAGATCTTAAATGCGTTAAAATCATAAAAAGGCAAGAAAAGTTAAGTTTTGAGGCTGACTTCTTTTAAATGGTGTTAGAGGGTGTTAGGGATGCTTACAAATGATATCAAACAATTATACACATTTTAAATAAAGGTTGCTGAGGCTACCGCTTATATAATGTGTTATTTCCCTGTTGCTACTGTGTTGAAGTTAAGAAAGCCTGTAAAAGTAGGGTTGGTGGTGGGGGGAGCAATGTTTTAAGTGTATTCTAGATTAAGTTAATAGAATCTCCTGATAAGCAACCAGCGGAGAAAGTCTTCATTCATGTGGCTGTGTGGAGCGCAAATCTAGCCCAATCTTTTTCAACACGGTTAGGACTGAGTTGTTTAAACACAATCTTCAAAAAAAAACAACTTCAATTTGAATAGAGTCCTGCTCAAAGCCTTCAGATTGACGACTATCGAAGAACGATTTCATCCAAACTGGCAAGTTCATTGCCGCAGATCACTCTTGTTCCTCGTCGCGACTTTCTGTTCTCAACAATGCCTGTAATGTAGTTTGACTATGCAAACTGCTCTCACTGAGAAATCCAATTGAAATGTACAATTGAGTCAACTTAATTTAACATTTGATTGGAAAACCTTCGAGTATTTCAACTAGTTCGCTAAAGTAACAGACAGAAGCCATCCATTTATCAAACTTTTGTACAGAAAAAGGGAATTGAATAGACTATCTCCAGCACACAGAAGCTGAAGAAGCTTTTTTCGGGCATTACTTCATGCTAAATTGAAAATGTAACCTTTAGACAGTGCATGCCCGCAAGAAATATATTTTTATCCGATATTTTCTAAATCTGACTGCAGGAGAAGGTTTAAATGGAATATAATTACAACTTCATAAAAGGCAATGATAGTAAGTATAAATCCATAATGTAAACGCCAAACTGAACGTCTTATCCAGATAAATGTGTCAACTCTTATCTAGATGTAAGACATGATTTTTCTTTTTTATTATTATTTAACATTTGGCATAGTACAAAAGTGACAGGACAATTAGACATAGTCATCAACATTTTAACAATGAAACAACGGTTGTCAATTCTTTTCACTTATTTGCACAGATGAGCCGCAAAAGCTAAATGTCATTCTTTTCATTAAAAACAAAGGCTGTCTCAGCTTGTTAAAAGCGGTGACAAGATAAGTCAAATCACTTTTTACATTTAGTTTTGTGCGGGAATACAATGAAGTCGAATTTCAATGGGGAGTACAGGGTAATTGATGGCTCCAGAAAATAATGATTTTAAGGATCCGATATTTGATTGAAATAGACAAACCGCAGAATCGTTCGCCATTCAAGCCAAGCAGATACAAAGGAAAGGCAGAACTCGCTCAGAACATGCACTCAATTGTGTTGCACACCCCAAGTCTTGGAACAAAACAGCTTAAAACAACTAGTTTCCAAGAGCAGATTTAAAAAATTCCCACGTATTTCACACCCTTTGCTTTTATACGGTATACTGGATTAACATAATGTCTATCTTGGACCACATCACCTAATGTACATAACTTTCTTTATTTCAGCATTGCCAAAAACAACTGCTTATATTTTAGTTACAACTGTAGTTTACTGTTGATTATAAATGAAGCAGATGTGACAAACTGATTTCAGTTCAGTTTTTTTTTAAGAATATGAAATCTTATTTCGTTGATCATTTCATGTACCTGCACAAAGAGGAGCACATTACTTTATTGATCACAACTTTTTTGATCACATTACTTTATTGATGGGGAGAAGAGAGCGTGGGCTAAGCCCTAGTCACCAGTTTCGATACACTGACGGAGACTGAATTAAATGGTACAGGGCAATTAAAAGAAAATGAAAGTTTTTCAAACTCAACTCAAGACAAGAGAGTCCACATCTGTTTGAAGAGTGGCTTTGTGCAGCACATTGTAATGTCTGTATTGATCTGTGTTGTCAGTCAGGTGATTCAAGGGAAAAAGAATAAATAGTGCTGTGGAGGCTTCAAGTAATCAATATTGTTGTTCCTGTCATAAAATGTCATTAACTCATATGAGGGCCTGTCTTGTTGGGTATTGAATACTCCATCAATCCATCAGAAATGTAATAAGATAGAGCATGTGCTAATTACTGTACATTTCTTTAGTGTTTAGTGCATCGCTCCTGTCGAATCTGTCTAAATAGATCTAAAATTTCAATATGAAGAGAAGTAGAGAATCTTTTGACTAATCTAAAAAGTATTTGGCTTTGATTGGGGAATTTTTTTTTAACAGAACCTCTGACCCAGAAATGTCAGTCAAACAGGCAGGGTGTCGGGGATTCTGGCACCCAGGATTCTGGTGTAAGACGTTTCATAACTGCAATGAACACCTGCAGCGAGAGAAACATCCACATGGCCCTTCAAGCCTGTTCCTTCACAGCTTATGTATGACCATCTAACTATTGAGGCACAAATTTCAACACTAACTTTCAAATCCCAGATATGTTTCTAGCCTTAAACCTTTAAAAAGACTCGACTGACCCAAATTTATCACTTCACCTGGGAATCTGTTCTACACATACTGTAGGATATTGAAATCATTTTTGCCGTTTCTTCACCTATTCATTCAACTGGTCTGATTAACAATCTGTTTTTTATTCGACACCTGACCACAAATCGCTGGGTCACTGACAAATGAATGACCAGTGCTCATACATTCACAAGAACAATCTGAACAGTGGAAAAACCTGGAACAAATTCTTATGGAATTCCTTTGGTTACTGCTTCCCAACCTGACCAGTTGCCAATTATCACTACCTCTCCGTCTCCTCCACAAAATAAAGAGCGGAAGACTGGAAATTATACCGATAAAATTCACTGACAAAACCTTTAACATCAACTTGTTCCATTTTGTTGACAGCATTTTCCCCCCTACACAGGGGAAAAACAAATAAAGACATGAATTCAGTACGACTCAAACTAACAAATGCTCATTATGAAATCCATGGCAAAGTGATTTAACAAGCAAGTTTATTTTACCTCTAATGTGATAAGGTCAGAATGTCAGGCGGCCTAAATATCACCTTATTATTACAGCTTTAACCTTGTACGCAGTGCAGAGGGCTGGCTGGAATCTAGCTTGAACCTTACAGCTTTTGGTGGCAGAGGTTTTGTGTGTGGGGAAAGAATGTGGAACACATTATGCAGCGTTCTGTTTTTTTTCCCTCTCTCTCGAGTTTAGCAGTGCGGTTGCATTATTAAAGCTACGCTAGCAGGCACTTTGCTTGCCACTGACCTTGGTGTTCTCTGCAGAGGAACATAAAACCTTGTTCTCCAACATGTTTATCCTCAACTCCAACAATCATACAATTTAAGCAACATCCGTTTCCATCACACTTTATAATGAGCGTTCCTAATACAGTAAAAGTCAAAACAGTGTCATCCCAATTATATCCGATTTGTTGACACCGTGTTAAACCTGCTCGGCACATTAGCAACAATTGACGTCTATGGAGATTGCGATCAATATTCCAAACAAGTTTGTACTTTCTTTTGGCTATTTTTCAGTTTATTGTAAAGCATCTGCACAGTGTGAAAGTACTCCCTCCATTGCAAAGTTTATAACAATCTTTGCATTTGGTACAACATCTGGAACATCTCAAAATGCTTCACATTTGTTAAGTGCAGTGACTGTGTATTTGTACACAAATGCAGCAGCCAGTTTGTGCACAGCAATGTCACAATATTATATGGAGGACTGCTGTCCAGGATACTGGGAGAAACTTCCTTCTCTTATTCAATAGTGTCATAGGATCTTTAACAAGGCAAATGCCTTTCATTCCTTGCACAGTAAAAATGTCACCTTTAACCATGTGTTAAGATACACAGCGAAAGTCAAGACACTTCCTCACAAAAAAAAACAGCCATACATTCACTCGTGCATCTCTTGAGACAGTTGTGCAGCAATAGTGATAGATAGAGTCTGTAGTGTTGGTATCTCCAAGTACGTGTACCTAGCTTGAGGAAATTCCCAACAGGTGTGTATGGTAGGAGGTAAAACAACTAACCAATAAAGGGCCACTGTTAGCGAGAGCAATGTTGGAAATATTTAAGAGGAAAACACAAGTACGTAAATGTACTTACTTGACTCCATATCGTTCCCTGAACATGATGTGGTCTCTGTAAGTACGGTTCACATCAAGGTCAATCTGCCTGACGTCTGGAGACACCACCCGTGCTCTGCTTTTGAGTTTCTTATGAAGGTTTTTAAAAGAAATAGAAGCAGCATAAAGAAAATGAGACAAAAATCATCACGACTATGAATTCAGAATTTAATTCGATATTTAAACCCACCAACAAAATATACAGTCAATTCACTTTACAGTATATTCTACGAAGCGCTTTGAGATATCTCAATGACTTGATAAGATCATATATCAAATGCAAGGATTCTTTTTATTATTTTTATGTATCAAGACAGGAGGATAAAAAAACATAGGTATTTCCCGATATCAGGAAGTTTTTCTTTATGCCGCGGGGTAACCAACAAGTTGCCAGGAAAGGTGGTAGCAGCCAGGACGCTAGACTCATTTAAAAAGCAGCTTGATGCAGTGATGGAAAGACAGTGGGGAAGATATTCTGTTGTTATAAGATCGGATGGGCTGAAGGTCCTTCTTCATCCGGACCGATCTTGTGATCTTATGCTTCCGATAACTTAGCAAACAACATGTAGTAGCTGAATATTGCAGCTAGATGACACTACAATGAAGTTGTGTTGTACCTAGTTCCTCCACTTGGCAATATTTTCCACAATTTAAAAGAACTATTATTTCTGCACAACGGAAAGCAGGTGGAATTAAACCAACGGTTATTGTAGCAGTTCAATACGTATGGTCATTGCGATGCCACCCAGTGACGGAATTTAAAAACTACAGCTATAACCAAACAGGTTTCACTGGCGAAAAGAAAAAGAAATGAAACATGACAAGTGACCAAAAAGTAATCATAATAATCCTTGCATTTGATATCTTCGAGACGTCTCCAAGCGCTTCACAGAATATACTGTAAAATGGATTGACTGTATGTGTTGTGGGCAGAACGCGGCAACCAGGAATTACAGGCTCAATGCCAAGCCTGAGAAGAGATGAAGACTCGTTTGTGTATGGATTCTACATTAACATATTCAACAAATGAGTCAGATGGGCATGATTCCAAATTCGTGGCTTATAAAAGAATCACAAACAATAGAAATGTTGAAAGCATGAAAATCTCAACAATTAGTTTTGAAGGATGGAAGGGTCAGCGATTCTAATTTTATCAAAGGTTGTGTCCTGGCTGACGACTGTCTGAATTACTGGATTACTGACCTGAAATTAGGATTAGTAGTTTTCAGCAAACTCTAGCACTGGACCATTGACCCACACAAAAATATTTTAACCTCCAACCAAACCTCTTTCCTATAAGTAGCTATGACAGCAAATTGTTGCACTTTCCGGTCATGACGCACAACCTGGAAGCTGTAAAATTAGTTATACTTTTACTTAAACTTTTAGCTCCTCGGTGAAACAGATCTCTTATGGGATAGTCCTGATGGTTTGGTACATGAGAAATTTGACCTTGTGGCTTATCACCATTGAAATTTCTCAAAGCGTATTACAAGATGAATTGCTTTGAAATTCAACTATTATGTAGGGAACAGTGGCAGCTCGTTTGCAGTAATGTCCCACAACATCAATGTATTTTTTCCCTCCGCTCCTGAAAGTGATGACTTGTTGAAATATAGTTCCATTGGCACCTGGCGCTTATCAGTACCTGTCCAAAGACAAGTAGTTTTTCGTGCACAAACGCAGACAGCGAACATCACAAAGCTATTCGGCCATGAGAGGCATCACAGATAGGTTTCATCCCAACACAATATCACATAAGGCACACATCCCCCGCAGGAAGAACAAAACAAAACTGTGCTGGCTCTTTGAAGAAGCAATCAATTTAGTCCGACTTACCTGCCTTTCCCGTGAAAACTACTTATTTTTAAATATTTATCGAGATCCCCCTTGAAAGCTAATGTGGATCTTGCCTCAACGATTGCTCCCAGCCCAGCGCTTCACATTTTAACAACCTGCTATGCAAAATAAGGCTCCTACCTAATCTCCCCCTTTGTAACTTTGGCAATTATCTTAAATTGGTGCCCTCTCCTCGCTGACAGGAGTCATTAGATTAGGCCCAAGTGTGAGAAATCCTGTCATTTCTTCCACTTCTCTGACTCACGACACTCTAAGGCCAATTGTACTGGTCCCAGTTGGTGACTTAGAATCTTCGTGGTTTATATGAGGTGTTTCACAGAGATAGTGGATTAACTAACTGAATCATTGAGGAAAGCTTCAGATTTAAAGTATTTAAGCACAAACGGCTCTTAGTAGATCAAGTTGCTTTTGAATATAATCTACAGTTTGATAGGAAAATAAAATAAATCGTTGGTCAACTTCTTGAAATGAATCCAACATTTTTATGCTATCAACATAGCAGTCTTGTACTTACAGATATAAATGCACAGTGGATCAACATAAATTATTCCTTGCTTGCAGTGGACAAATGTTACCGAAGCAGAGCCACCAGGTAAACCAATCTCTCAGAAGAATAAAATGTATTAAATTGTAAACTTACATCGTACAAGTCTTTTTTTTCAGTCTTCAGTTTTTGGATTTCCAGCAAAAGTGACCAGACCTCGCCCCTGAGCTGCAGTGGGATTCCTTTATATATTCTCCGCACCATCTTGGGATCAAACAGACAAAGTGAAAAATAATTGTCCGGAGCGGAGTTCTCACTCAACTTTAGCAGTCTTTGGACAACAACAACTTGAAATTATATAGCAGGGTAGCGTCACGGAGCACTTGCTAATGGTTAAGAGCAGGAACCCAGGCTGAATTTTGCCCTTTTCTGTATCTCTTTATGGACCTGAATGCTTTAAGATTGTTCCATTTATTACAGAAAGATGGCCAGAGGCGAGGAAGTCGTCACTGATCAATCAGGTCAAAAGATTTGAGGAATCACTATTAAAACGTAAATCCTATTGAACCTCAAAGTGATACTGAAAGTTATACTGGAGTATAGTGGACAGCATATAATGAAGAAAAGTATCAAAAAAGTTTGTAAAAAATTCTACCTACATGTACATACCTGAATTGATTCAGGCTCCATTTCAAAATTGTCCTTTAAATATTACCCATTACATTTAATTTACAAATTACTTAATTTTATCAGTGCCACAAAATAGTGGAACAAAATTTTGCCCACAAAACATAGTCAATTCACTTTACAATATATTCTGTGAAGCACTTTTGAGACGTTTCAACAACGTGATGAGGCGCTATGAAAATGCAATCATCATTATTATAATAACAAATTATCTAAATGGTTTGAGAAGGATTGAAATGAGAACAGGTCATTGAACAAATCCACTTTCAGATCTTGCAAAATCTACCCCTCATGGAATCCTCCCCACCATTTCCAGGTGAAGGTTTCGCATCGAAAATCTCTCGGCCCCAAAAGAGATTACGTGAAAGCTTTTCTAACGTTCATCATCCCCAAATCTCCATAACTCAACCTTGATTTCCTTTCCTCCCCAGACGATACTCTTCCTCCTCTCTCTTCCCCCCCCCCCCCCGCCGCCCCACAACCTGTACCTTGGGACACCCTCCTGACGTGAAAGGAGTGTTATATAAACGGAAATTGTATTTTATTGTGCTATATTGTATAACAGCAAGAAATCATTGTGTCCAGAGCAGTATTCGTTTATCCCTGCACCCTCCTGTACTGTTTCCAAGGAGATAACATTCAGCTTATTTTGTCAGTTCAGTTGGACAACATCTGGGCATAAAGTGCAAAAGAACAGATTGAAATGGATTTTCTGAAGGCACCAAATTAAAAACAATTTTAGAAGGTGGGGATAGGAACACGTTTTATTTTCTGGTTCCAATACTTTGTACATTTTTAGGCAAAAATACGAATCCCACTGCTTCTGAAACCATCTCCAGATAGTGTCAACAATGGGGCATGATTCATGCAGGATCAATCCCAATTTATTCTGTAAAACAGGCAATATATCCCCATGCTATCTACAATCTGCTTGTTTTCCTTCTCCCCCGCCCTGCCCCGATACTCTTTTAAAACCCAACCGATTTGAAGACAAAGATAGTGAGTAAGAAGGATCTTTTAAATACCATTGCAAATATTTTCTTATACGGAGCACCTAAACATAGTCGTGTAGCGTTAGTGTATTCCTGCGTTGAATATCTACGAGTCTGAATGAATTGCATAGGAGGACAACTGTTCTGAAGAGAAAGCTTACATGATGGGCAGATCGTGAATATAGCACTTCAAAATGAAGTCTGCCCGGGTTGCCTCCTGCGCTAATCTGCTAAATAGCTTCACTGGTGGTGGGCAATCAGCCAAATTCCTCGGCACTAAATCTAATCATCTCCAGTGAAGCAGGCCTAGAAATGCCACACTTTATCTGTGCTGTAATGATAGAAGGTTGAGCTAAATCGTCCTTGGCTCATAGACTCGGATCCAGGAGGTTGGATTTCAAGGCATTAAATAAATGTTTGACAGCACCTCACCCATCAACTGAACACCGTCAAGATCACAGCTGAGATCTAAAATAACGTTTCTTGGCAGCTTAACTTAGGGACATTCTGGCAGGCAGTAATGCTCCTTCAAAGGTAGGCACACACTTGATTAAATAAGTTGCTCATAGCGTCATGGACAATTCCACATCTGCCACAGTGGATGCGTGTTGACTTAGCTACTTTAAGTTAACAAAAATAAGTAGAGGTGCAAGGTTGTAGGATTTGATGAAACGCATCTTACATACTCTTCGATGGTGTCCTTGCAGTATTCAACTTCCCAAGACAAGAGCGGAAATCGGGTTTCCAGCTCTCAGTTCTTGCCAACTTTTTGTCTGAATTCCCCTCCCTCCCCCAACCCAGGGAGTCTGCACAAGAAGCAACAACAACAACAAAATTACATTTGTATAGCGCCTTTCACGTTGGAAGGACGTACCAAGACACTGGACACTCAGTGTTTCGCACCCGAGCTGAGGAATAGATGGGGAAGGAGGGTGACCGAAGGCACGGTCCAAGAGGAGGGTCTTGAGACGGTCTTGAAGGAAGCAAGGGAGGGGGCGAGGCAGAGGGTCGGCGGGATCGAGTTCCAGAGGGTGGGGGCCGAATGACAGAAGGCCCGCCTGCAATGGTGGGACGGGCAAGGCGGAGGACGTGAAGCAGGCTGGAGCCCGCTGAGCGGAGGGAGCGGGCAGGTTGGTAGGGGGGTTAGAAGGTCGCAGAGATTGGGGGGAGCAAGGCCATGGAGTGCTTCAGTTCCACCATTTGCGGCCCTTCACACACATGCGCGCGCTCAATAACAGTTGCAGTACCACAACATGACAACCTAAGAACTTGCTAGGCGAAAGAAGACCGAGGTAGATCCAGTTCGCCTTCCACCGTCCTGGCAGTCGCATGACATGTCATGTCCCAAACTATGTATTGTATCCCGAGATATTATTTCCTAAAAGTTGGTATTGTGGCAGTAGTACTCCTACACTTAGAAGGCTACAGCAATGTCACCTTGTTGTATTCAATTCAGAACGTGCATAATTTTGGAATGTTTTAAAATATACACCGCTCCTTACATCCACAGCTCGTTACGATCCAAGAATAATTTATTTGTTTTGGTATCCCGAAGGAAGCAGAGGATCTCTTGAACTCCTGGACATAAAATACTATTGTGATCAATGGGTGGCATCATTTGCATTTTATCAGGAGTAAAAACTAATTTTCTGATGACTGCAGGCACCAGTTGTAAGTGGACAAATGATAATGTCTGTGGTGCCAAACCACCCAATGAATTGAAAATGCATCTTTTATGCAGCTCATATCTGAAATATTTACCAAGAATCGTACGGGAGATTCCAAAGCAGTCGCCTCGCCCCTAAATCACTCCTAAATTTAAGAAATACGATTGAGTTGCTCAATGCAACTTTGTCATGGTCAGCACACTGCAAAGCAAATTAACTGCAATTGGGAACAATATCATGATAATTGACATCTATCATCTCTCTTCTCTCTCTGGCCCTCATCCGAGCCTTCTCCCCCACCACCCAATTCCCTCTCAGTTCTGTTGAAGTCCAATTTCTACCAATGATACATAGAGGTAATTAGAGCAAAGTGAGCAGAATTTCCTGCTGGTTTTGTCTCCATTTATCCCTGCTTCTTGTGAGGTATGTACGTGCACGGGCCATTTTCATTTCACATGTGCACTCTACCTCACCTGTACGTGTATCTCATGCCCCCTTCCACATGCACACACCTCATCTGTAACGTGTGCATTCCACATGCTCAGCACATGTATCCATACACGTCATCTCCCCTACACACCTCTCCACTTGCATGTGAGTGTATATCAAACATGCATGTGGCTGGCTGCAGCACCTGAAGTAAAGGTACCAAACGTTGGGCAAAATCTTTACTGAACAATTACACAACATGATTGTTAAGTATTCCCGTGAGTTTCTAACAGAACGCTAGCAAAGATGCCAAATAATGAGGTTTCACATAAAAATCTTCCCAAAAGGAAAAAGCAATCTCTAAATACTTCAGATTTTAAAAGTAGAACAACAAATTGCATTGATATAGCGCCTTTCACATCGGGACGATGTCCCAAGGGCAGGAGAAAATGCGAATTACCAATTAAAACAGTGAAGCAGATTATTGAAGGAATACGATGCCATGTGCCAAGGTCTGTTGAAAAACTCTTCAACTTTCACACGCCTTAATGAGAACAAATTGGAGCTCAATTCCAGATTCAGTTATTACGTGCTGCGCAAAATATTTAAAAATAAGCAGGGAATGGATGGCTCAAGTAGACAAGATTAATCATGTTAATCCCATTACTTTCAGTGAAAAGATCTATCAGTAATCTTAGCACAAATACCAAGAGTTGCATGATTATCTTCATACATAAATCCCCGTAGCATCCTTTCTCAGGAGCTGTGGAAGCTGTCATAGCTTCTTTCTCAAGGCAACTCTCACTAGGTGGCTGAAGTTATGGATACCATTTTTATGCCGTTTTATTCTTTCAGGACATTTCGTACCCAGTTCAGTTCTGAAGTAATCTGGGACTGCCTTTACCAGTTAATTTTCAAGGACAGAATTAAAAGCACTCATGGGCAACAAGAATGAACGATGTACCCGGTTATAGTAATAATCCTTGCATTTGGTATAGTGCCTTATCAGGTCGGGAAGATGACTCAAACTACTTCATAGGAATTACTCTGAGTGACTACGTTTGTCGGCTAATGTGGCAGCATAATTACGCAAAGCAGTGTCCCACAAGCAGCCGTGGAACGAGTGACATTAAAGGTCACGTTGAAGGTCCTTCCGACGTGAAAGGCGCTGTATAAATATAATTTGCTGTTGTTGTCCGAAGTTATGACTTGCAAATTTCGGGCAGTGGACCCTTCCTGTGTAAAGTCCCTGTATAGGCCAATTAAGGTGAAAGCAGCATTGCTGGTCTGCAGGAGAAGACTGATTGAAACCCTCTGCCAGCACAGATTCAGCAGGCAATTTAAACGTGATTTTATGCTGGGTTTTACACTAAGCCTTCGGCTGCACAAACCAGAGATGGTCAAGTGGTGGCGCTAACAGTTGAGTGGTGCTCATACAACATTTATATTTAAGATTAACAGCTAAATAATGGTAGTGGAGACTGAAAGCAAACTAGACTGACATTTTCTGGCTCTGGTGGTCTAAATGACGATAGCGGTGATTGGGAGTAAGTGTTGTTAAAGGGTCTGCGGATATGCAGAAAAATATCGGCACTGGACGTGCACAGCGAATTGGCGCAGCGCAGGGATATTGGATCAGGCAGTCGAAATAATTCAGCCACAGGCGCTTTCAATATTCCTGCCTCTTTTTCATTATGGTCTGGCCCATGATGGCAGGAGCGTCATCACAAGTGGACCCGCAATCCAAACCCAGGGTTCAATTAGATTTCTCCTACTCTTTTGACGGATGCTGCTACACAGACCTAGCATTTGGCTTTTATTTCAGATTTCCATTATTTTCCAGCTCTGCTGGGCGCGACAACATTAACACTTATAGTAATAATATTCCTTGCATTTCATATAGCGCCTCATCACATCATTGAGACATCTCAAATCGCTTCACAGAATTTACAGTAAAATGAATTGACTGCATATTTTGCCAATTGCACACAGCAGTGTCCCACATCAATTCATGCAGGCAACACAATTGTTGGTGGTACATTATTTTATATTTCAGTTAAGCTAACTTTTAGAAACTTGGGAGAGCGCGTGAATAATTTTATTGCTTAAGTTTGAGCTAAATATTTTTGTAACTCGTATTGTGTCAAAGTGCAGTATTATGAATTCTGCCATGTGCTATCCCTAATTTGTTGAACTCAAAAATGATTTATGAATAATGGGAGCTATCATATGTTTTCCATCTTAATGCTGTATTATTATGTCAAATCTACTTTCAAACTGATGCAAGTGCTTAAAAGTTTGCCAAGTTTTGTTTATAGTTCTTGTAAAGTTTTCAGGAAGTTACCCCAGTTCCACCCGCACTATAAACAGCCAAGCCCAATAATTAGCTCAAAAATTTCCTTTAGGGATTAAAAAAAAAATCCAGAATGGTGGATTATTATTCATGAGGAACAGATCGTAAGGAAATAACTTGAAATCAAGACCATATATAGCTTTGTTTAACCATTCGGTTGAAATATTTGCTAGATGTACACAAATTGAGTGAGCCTGCATAAAAATCAAAGCTGCAATACAAGAGATATGCTTTGTATCACCCCAAGAGTCCATCTGATCGGTCTGTGCTAAGAAAAATTCTAATAAGCCTCCTTCATCTGAGCTTCTAAAGATCTGAGAGACGCTGCAAATCTATTTCAACACTGCTGATGAGCGGAGCAACGCGTTTTTCGTGTTCGGCCGGGTAGAGTCCTGTCACATGCAGAAACTCATCACCGTGCTTAAGAGTATCCAGACTAAACTGAGAATTCCACGCATCCCACCTACGCATGGAAATTCCAGAGATAGATTGTTGGAAAGGAATGCGCTCGCTCTCCCTGGAGCAACGCACCCCGCTTACCCAATTCCGGAAATTATTATTCGCAGGTCGGCAAGGGCGAAGGCTTGATATCGCTGTCTGGCAAGCTTTCCCGCTGCTTGTCCAGCTAGCACCACCCTACCAGCTGGGGATTTAACTTGCAGAGTTAACAGGAGCTGAGTGGGAAGAATCCCTGCCCCCCCCTACAGTGACTGGTCTGCCCTGCCATAGCCTGCCGATGAGCCAGGCTGGTCGTGCTGTCATTAGCAGTAACCTGGATTACTGCGGACCCATCTGGCTCTGGAGATATTCTGTAAGCATTCTGTCAAGAAAATTCTGCGAAGCACTTTGAGACGTCTCACAGACACGATACAGCATTATACCAGATGCAAGGATTATTAAGATTATTATTAGTTTCAGAAAGAAAACAAAAAAATGATTAAGTGCAAAAGTCCTGCAGGGATCTGGATGCTTAAAATACTTGTTATGCATGAATTTCCCGACTTCCAGCAGGTCACCAAATGTAAAACCTCATAATCTGACAAAGGTCTCATTACAGGATGAGGTGATTTAATGGTGAACATCATTACGTTCACAACATGTGGTAAATGCTCAGGTCACAAACATTAGGTGAACAAACTCAATAATTGTCAAAAAAAAAAACTTTTTCTATACTGTGTACAATCTTTCGACTTTGGTCGACCTGCTTCTATGGTGCATAGACAAGTCGAGTTTATGTAGCGCTTCTGTTAATTGATGTGAATTTCAAAACCGTCGCCTTAAATAGAAACCTTATCAATTGTAATGACTATAGTTTAATGATTATCAAAGTTTGTTTTTACATCTCTTTCCCTTCATATTGGCTAAAATAATAATAATCTTTGTGTCTGATGAAGCGCCTTATCACGTCGTCGAGATGTCTCAAAGTGATTCACAGGTTGTACTGTGAAGTGCAGTGACTGTATTTTGTGGGCAAAACACAAAAAAATCTTAAAATATTTAAAGCTCGTCTGCGGAGAGCCATAATTCTCTTCCCCCACTCCCTCTCCACATTCACGCAAGCACGCACAGAATAGCATTTAAGCAGCTCATGTTATAAATAAAGCAGAATATCATTACAGGGGAATAATGTCCAATGACATCTGCTCTGAAACTGATTCCAGCGAGCAGTTGAGTTCTGGGCACATGTTCTTGTCTTCCAAAAGCAGCGTCAAATCAGTAAGCTGCTGTGTAATGATTCATTAAGAGATAGGCTAAATGGCTTTGCTCTTGACTGAGATTTGTCTTCTGCGTAGGGAAGTCTTAGATCACTTCTCAGATTCTTTCCCAGAAAATATGTGGAAATGAGAACATTTTGTGCAATGAGCTGCCCCCATGTACCATCTCTGGCATGATACACTAGAGCTTCAACTCTCTATATTAGTGTACTATTCCGGCCACCAACTTTGTAACCCTTGGACTGCCAAGAAATATTTACTATATAATTACTTATTATTATTTTATATGGGAGAATGGGTTCACAAACCTGAATCCAAGCAAATTGTTAATTTCTTCATTTTGGCAAAGGGCTTAAATAATAATCTTTGCATTTATCACGTCTTCGAGATGTCTCAATGTGCTTCACAAAATGTACTGTAAAGTGAATTGACTGCATATTTTGTGGGCGAAATACCAGAGGAACACAAATCAAAAGTGTCACAAGTTAGGAATCTGAATGGAACTTTTTTCTTACACAAAGAGTAATAAACTTGTGCAAATAAGTTATCGGAAAGGGCAGTTAAGTGAACGGTAAAGATACGGGCCAGCAAAATCAGAAAGAAAAACCTGCTATTTGCAAAGGTGCACTTACCTTTTCAGTGTTCTTGTATTTGTCCCAGCCTTTCACCATTTTGATCCATTTTCCTGTTCTTTCAATCTCCAACTGCTTAACCTTTAAAAGCAAATCACAACCACCGTTAAAATCAAATTATACGACAACCCCGTTATTAGAGCATTGGGTTCCCTTTTAATGTGGGGACCCTGTGGTCCTACATATATGGTCAGTTCCTATCACATCTGCCAATGAGTTGGCCTTTTCTTTTTAAAACAATCAAATAGTTCTTGTGGAAAGTGCAGTATCATTCGCTTATTTGAAAATTCTGTATTACCTTGCTAAATGTTGGACCCAGGAATAATATTACTCGCATTTGATATAGCGCCTTATTACACCATTGAGATGTCCTAAAGCACTTCACAGTATATACTATAAAGTGGATTGACTATATTTTGGGGGCAAAACACGGCAGCCAATTGTGCACAGTGAATCTAAACCTGACTGGATACCTACTTTCATAATCCTAGGTCTAACAGTGATCAGCAGTCACATTTCCTTAAAGCCACAGTGCAGTATAGGAGTTGTAGTCCAGAACAGTTGGAGGATTAAGACAGTCTGGGAAGTGGCAAGCATGGTACATATAGTAGCAGTTCCACTTATTGGGTGCATTGAATGGCCTGCGACTTATTCTGGAATTGTTTGACCTGGGGGTGGGAGGATCTATAGACAGTTCAAATAAATGTGCCTCTCCAACAACAACAAGATTACATTTGTATAGCGCCTTTTACGTCGGGAGGACGTCCCAAGGTACTGGACAGAGAACAGCATTTCAGATCCCAGCTGGGGTTGGGGGGGGAAGGGGGGTGGCCGATGGCATGGTTGAAGAGGAGGGTCTTGAAAGAGGCTAAAGAGAGGGCAAGGTGGAGTGACTGGGGAATGGAATTCCAGAGGTTGGGGGCAGAGTGGCTGAAGGCTCTCCCGCCAATGGTGGGGCGGGGGACATGGAGCAGGCCAGAGCCGGCTGAGCGGAGGGAACGGGCGGGTTGGTAGGGGGTTAGGAAGTTGCAGAGGTTGGGTGGGGCGAGGCCATGGAGAGCATTGTACATGAGGTCCAGGATTTTAAACTGGATCCTCTGAAGGATAGGGAGCCAGTGGAGTCGGGTGAGAGTTTGGGAGATGGGGTCACGGAGTTTGGTGCAGGAGAGGACACGGGCTACAGAGTTCTGGATTATCTGCAGCCTGTGGCGGGAGGAGTTGGGAAAGCCGACAAGCAGGGAGTTTGCATAGTCGAGCCTGGAGGTGATGAAGGCATCAACAAGAGTTTCAGTGGCCTGAGGGGTGAGGTCGTGGCGGAGTCGGGCGATGTTACAGAGGTGAGAGAAGGTAGAGCGGGTCATGGCTTGAATGTGGGGGAAAAAAGACAGTTGAGGGTGGAGGCAGAAAGATAAAGTTGGGTGTTATCCGCATACATGTGGAGGTTGACCCCATGTCTGCGGATGATATCACCAAGGGGGAACATATAGATATCAAAGAGGAGAGGGCCAAGGACAGAGTCCTGGGGGACCCAGACGTGACAGTGCGGGGGCTGGAGAAGAAACCGTTAGAGACAACAAAGTGAAGACGGTGAGAGAGATAGGAATCGAACCAGGCAAGGGCAGGTCCGCAAAGATTAAGTAAGGAGGAGAGGCGGTTTATGAGGATGGAGTGATCGACAGTGTCGAAGGCGGCAGAGAGGTCGAGGAGTACAAGGAGGCAGAGGGAGCCCTGATCACAGATGTTCAGAATGTCATTAGTGACTTTGACCAGGGCTGTTTCCGTGCTGTGGGCAGTGCGTAAGCCGGATTGGAGGGTATAAACGTAGCATGAAAATTTTTATTCTTGATCAATGCAAACTGTTAACACTTGTCAAATCAACACACAACGGCATTAACTGCCTGCAAGTGCACTGCACTGCTCACAACCAAATGATTCATTGCCATAAAAGGAAACAGTGCAGGAATGCTTCCCCGGAAAGAAATAAGGAAACAAGACAACGCTTTCACGAAGACAGCCAAAATAATGACTAAAATTTAATTGGACTTTCTACTAGAACAGTAGCATTATATGAATCAGTTCCTGTTTCCATAGATCAAGACCATCCGTATTTGTAGCAGTTCTAATAGGGATTTAACACGATCACCTCTCCCCCTGGCTCGATATCAGACTCCACCACTGTCGAGCGCTCCAGGATGCTATCCTGCATGAAGGGCTCTATATAAATGCAAGTTGTTGTGTATTTTATAGAAACAAAAATACTTCAGAACTCCTGTTAACTAATTAAAATAACTATAATTGATGAAGCCAATTTGACAATTTCTCCCAATTTAAATTTCGCTAAAAGTAATAATAATAATAATCCTTGCATTTGATATAGCGCTTTTCACGTCGGGAGGACGTCCCAAAGCGCTTCACAGAACACACTGTAAAGTGAATTGACTGTATATTTGTGGGCGAACGCGGCAGCCAATTGCGCACAGCAATGTCCCACAAACAGTCGTAGATTGAAAATGACCAATTTATTATTGTTTTGGGTTTTGGAGGGATTATTATTAGGCTCTGTGTGGAGTCAGGAAACTTGCCCAAGGTGTCGCCCTCTGCCTGGAATTGAACTCAGGTTTCTCACTTGCAAAGCGAGTGCTCTAACGACTGAGCTACAGGACTCCACAGTAGTGTAGTAGTTTAAAATGCTCATTAAAAAAAATCTATCAACCTTTTAAACCTAACGTATGTTGTGATTTCTTTTCAAAATAAAGGAAGGATTAACTTTCATAAATTCAAAAAGCCTTTTCATCCAATTTCCAGAGATAATTGTGAAACAAGTACCCTGTTCTTTAGTCACGCATAATCCTGAGTTTGTTGTTTTACTCATTGGGAGAGCCAACAAATGTGTTGAGGCACTGCTTTGCATGTCATAATGTTTCAAAGAGCATAACTTTGTCCTGCAATCATAAGAATCGTTGGCTTACCCTTTCTTCCACAGCGTCAGGCACAGGGAGCTCATCCGCACTGTGTAGAACAAAATACATTTCAGTCATCACATTTGCACTTGATTTTTCCACCGGAACAATATTTTAATCAGATTTTTTTCAAATAAACTTTAATAAACACATAATTAACAGAGGTAACATCTCAATCCAGTTGACAATTTTTTTTAAAAAGAAACTTGCATTTGGTAAAGTGACTCTCTCGTTGGGAGGACATCTTAAAGCTCCAGGATTTACTGTAATGCATAGTGACTGTATCTTAAAGGCAATCGTCTGCAGAGATACTCATCTTAACATGCATAGGGCCACGTGAAATTTGTTAAGAAAATAAAAAATAGTCACTAGTGCTCTGCAAATTAAGTAGAGGGAATAACATGCCAATTGTTTTTAAGATACATTATCGAATCTCACTCAGTTTGATGTTCAACACTTCATCATTAATATCACCATTCTATGAAATTAATGTAGTTAGTTAGTGCGTCCATTTAACACCACCCACAGTCAGAAACCTCTGGGGAGGTGAAAAGCAAGGAACTAGTTAGAGTAAGCTCAAGCTTTTACTGCAAGCTTGGAAGATGATGGGTTAAAATCTTAGGGAACGATCAATGTCAATAACAAACCTGTAGCTGTTTTGGGGGAGATTGTATAGTTCCTCTAAATTAAACCGACTTTATTTTTTATTCTGACAAAATGGAAAGGAATACAGAATTGAAATGTACACGAACACAAGATTGAAACGCACAAGAATGTGGAACTAGGTTAAAGCAAAGACTGGAAAGTGTTTCAAGAAGAAAACACATCACGCACAGCTTGTCGAGTTCATCAATGTCGTCTTAATCCCGAGATATGACATCCGTCTTGGAAGGCGTTCAACTTATGTTATTTGTTTCCAAAGCGCTGAGGTGGCTTTCACTGTAATTTATTTGGTGCTACCAGGTATTGTGTTAGACAGAAACAATGGTGAGGTATCCCATGATGAGAATGTAAGTGAAAGATGATTTTCACTCCATGTCACAAGGGATTAAATGCTCAGAATACATAACAAAGTTCAAGTTTATTGACGCAGCTAAATTGTCAGAAACGCAGGTAGATTACCTTTCCCTCCTAATTCCATAGCCAAAAGGTATAAAGAGAAGAAAGAGGGAAGAGTGAAGAACAGAAAGGCTTTGTGCATTAACAGGGACTATTCTGGAAGTGAGCGTGCACCTGATGAATCTCTTCCTTAATAATAAGAATAATCCTTGCATTTGATATATCGCCTTACCACGCTAAATCAAATGTCAGGACACCTCAATGGAATTCACAGGAGTTACTGTGAAATCGAGAGATTACGTATTTGTAGGCAAACGTGGCAACAAAATCGCTCACAGCAGTGTCCCGCAAACAGCCATGAAATGAATGACCAATTTTATTTGGGGGATTGTTGGCCAGAACACCGGAAGGAACTCCCTTCTCTTTCAAATAGTGCCACGACGTCTTTCATGCCCACCTGAACAGGCAAATCCCGCCCTGCCCCCCTCCCCCACCATGTCCAATACTCTACTAACTCACAAAGCTATTGCTTGTGGACCAATGCGAGTTGCTGTTTTAAGGTGAGGAGACAAGCTTGTAGTAAACAGGACGAAAAAAAATGCTTCTCAATAGAAAATATCATCGAGCTAACATATGGCCTATCAAAAAATAGTTAATTTTGCTGTTCTAAAGCCACCACAGTCCCGAACTACAATATATGAAAACATTTATTTTTAATCACTTCAATGACAGAAGGATTTTATCCTGAACAATTTGTTACTAATTTAAATGTGTGGCACATTTCCTTCTTTCCAAAAATCACATTCTGCACGTAAGCTGAACCAAGAGTGCAAAAGTTGCTAAGGAGCAAGGCTCGAAGAGGCTTCTCTTAATACACCAGGGTACAGTCTGAGAGAGATGAAAGATTGTGCTTGAAAAAAGCTTCTCTCTAACACAGAGAGCCGCACTATCTCAGTCCCTGTCAGCATTATTGAGCTGGCTAAGCCCAATACAAATGACTTAGTAAAGTACTTTTACCCTAGCATCTCATTCTTTTACTTGACACGAGTATCCTATTGAAGCTATTCTGCAATACCGAGCTAACCAAACACCTGATTGTGGTTAGACAACTGACAACATGTAGCCCCAGTTTAATAATAAAAATCCTTGCATTTGATACAGCCCCTTATCACGTAGTTGAAGGTCTCAACAATAACAGGGAGAGTAGCAGCGCTTCCCAAAATATACTATAAAGTGAATTAAATTGGCTGTATATGTTAAATGCAATGATAACATTGAAAAGCCTTCCTTTGTTTTCCCTTTCCATATTCAAGTTATTTTCTTCCTACTGACTTCTTCCATTCCTTAAAAGATTCTTCCAAGATGTACATACACACTCGGCACATGTCATCTATCGTCCCCCCAAGTGACCCAAGCTGGTCTCCAAATCTTCCTCTACCCACTTCTTCTTCTTCAGGCATCTTCACTGTGATTGCAGGTCATAAAGGGCATCAATATGCTACGCTACTAAACATTTTACTTACATCTTAAGAAAGGATGCACCAAGGATAAACTAAGATAAACCGAGGCCCTAGTGCGGGTTTCCATTCATGCCTGATCTTTTTGTTAAAATAATAATAATCCTTGCATTTGATGTAACGCCTTATCACATTGTTGAGGCGTCTCAAAGCGTTTCATAGAATACACTGCAAAGTGGATTGACTGTGCATTTTGTGGGTGAAATTGCACACCAGTGCCCTCCAAGCGGTTCTGGACTGAGTGAATAAGTTCTTTTTTTTGAGGGATTATTACTCCTGGAAAGCGATCCGCCAATGGACTAAAAACCGGAGTTCCTACTTGCTGGTTGATAAAACAGAGGCTTGTGGAGTAAGGTGACTTGCCTAAGGTTTCACCTTGCCCGGGAACCAATCCCGGGTCATATCGCTTGTGAGGCGAACGCGCTAAGCACTACATTCCGGGAAATATTCACAAGAAATTCACAAGAGTCGTTTTTCGAGAGATCAAAGACAGAGGGTGAAGGCAATTTAGTGATTTACAAAGCCTTTCATCATTTGAATTTCAATGAAAGCCCCACTGGGCCAACGCGCTCAGACTTGCAAGTTTTTTTTAACATGAGAATCTTGATTGTCATCTTCAACCCAATACGTCTCAGGTAATTGTATGATGATCTAAAAATAAATTACCATTATTTATTTTTTTAAAAAAAGGCATATTATAATTGATGAATGTGGAATAATCAGGGAAGTCAACCAGTCATTATAAAGTTAATTATGTTGTGTTGTTAACTCTTTTGGTCTTGGTATTAATGGAAGTCAGAACAAACATGTCACTTCATAATTCCCAGCCATATCAAGTAAAAATGCCTCATTTCAATGAATGCTGCACTTCATTTAACAAGCTGTGAATAAAATGTGTATTCCCTGCTGTATAATTTGCGGTATATAATTTATTCTGTTCATAGAACCGCCACAAGTTCAGGTTTGTCAGGATTTTTCTGTAATGACTCTTCTTTTCAATTCAGTTTCACTTTATTAGCAGAATACACTAACGACTTGTACCCCCAAAAAATCCCAATAAACCATCTGCTTTGGCACTAAAATGCCATTTGCATTCACCTCACTGATGGAATATTTGGAGAAGTCGGTTTAGAAACAAGGTTGTGGGTTGTTTAAGAGTTCATTTCAATTGTGTAACTTAATGGCTAAGAGCTATCAGTGACTCAGAACGAAAGTACAAGCGAGACCCACACACTGCAAGAAATATACTTACAGTCATCTGCTCCACCTGGTATAGAAAAGAGAACGTAGTCATCTTTCTGTACAATAACTTGCACAAAAGTTGGTACTGTTTTCCACATTTGTTAACATGAGTGTTGTACCCACCCTCTGGAATGCCAACCCACTATCTGTCCACCTTGCCCCCTCCCTTGCCTCCTTCAAGACCCTCCTCTTCGACCTCGCCTTCGGTCACCCTCCTACCCCCTACCCACCCTCCCTCCTGATCCCAACCACCAACTCAGGTCCAGCACCTGACATGAAAGGTGCTATACAAATGTAATTCGTTCTTGTTTGGTGGAGTCCTGTAGCTCAGTGGTTAGAGCACTCGCCTTGCAAATGAGACACCTGAGTTCAATTCCAGGCAGAGGGCCAAACCTTGGGCAAGTTTCCTTACTCCACACAGAGCCTAATAATAATCCCTCCAAAAAACAAAACAATAATAAATTGGTCATTTTCAACGCACGACTGTTTGTGGGACGCTGCTGTGCGCAATTGGCTGCCGCGTTCGCCCACAAATATACAGTCAATTCACTTTACAGTGTGTTCTGTGAAGCGCTTTGAGATCTAGCAGACGTGAAAAAGTGCTCTATCAAATGCAAGGTTTATTATTATTATTGTTGTTGCTTCCAATTACAATCGTGCTGCAGTAACAGTTCTGTTGCTGTACTAAACATAAAACAACAAAGTGAGTAACATCTTTAATATACTTTTAGTTTAAAGATCATACAGGACGATGATGTCAGTGAAATGGAGCAAAACTTAAACCATAGAAGGTGGACAAATGACACACTCAGGGAGCTCATGTTTAACTAACCTGGGCTGGGTTCACTGACTAAATCAGCTGCAGGAGGAGCTGGGGTGGTGTGGGAGGGGGTGAAGAGAGAAGAAAGAGCAGTATAATGGATGGGAGGGAAGAAGAGAAAGCAGTTTTATACAATCAATGAAATTCAATACTCAAAAGGGCTAATGTAACAATGCGTTAGGGAAAATAAGTATTAGATAAATGCAGAAATCATTTCATAGCTTTGGCCATGGACACACTATAGACTCGAGTTCAAAAGGGGAAGGTGAACAGACAGTTTGCATCTAATTAGATGGACACAAAGAAGGTCGACTGTGGATCTGTGCTATATTGGAAGTATCGTACACTCACCTTTCAGCACCACACTAAAAAAAAGGCCCACTCCAGTCAAATGGATTACAATAATGTTCTCTGACACTGTGCATTCTTATAAATAAGGCTTCAAGAACTCCAGGAGCTTTGAATATATATTTGATTCAGTGTCAATGACAGTGTTTCTGCAAACATACTGAGAGTTAATATGTGTGCCATGTTCTGTTCTTGGCCTGATATCAATATCTTGTTACCCTCACCTGGTTATACAGCTCTAAACCCAACACATAATGTATCATGTAAGATGTTGCAGATCACTGCCTTGACAGAATAATTTTCCAATGGCAAAATCCTCTTCCCATTACAACACAACAATCATTTCACAATACGCCCAGACTATAAATCTTTAACACACAAATTGAATTGCTAACATTTTAAAAGCTTTCCCAATTTCCTGGAACGGTGTTTGAATGATAGCCCTTCTCAAATGAGTTTCCAACAGAAAGTAGCCATCGAAAAAAAATATTTTTGTTAGTTAAGATAAGCTGAAGTTAATTCAGTGTCAACTTAGTTCAAACTCATTCATGAAAAACATCTTTAGCGTATGGCAACATTACTTAAGAGAAGAGAATTTGGTCAGTCGAAGTTTTCTTAAAATGGCATTAATATTTTGTCATTAAATGAACTAAACATTATATTAGAAATTGATGATACACTGTCACTTGTTAAGAGTAAAAGTTGACATAAAACAGAGAAAAGGCTGTTATATTTGCTTGCCACGCACTAGCATTTCCTTCAAGAAGATTCCAATCACAACAACCTACACCTAGATACCATATTTCATGTAGGAAAACATCTCAAAAAACCTCACAGAGGCAATGTGAGACCCCAGCGGGATGGGATTTTGGGGATAAGACAGGAAGCGACCAAGTGTAAAGAGCAGGTTTTAGGAACATTTTGAAAGCAGGGAGGAAGGATGTACTACCTTAACCCTGAAAACCTCTCCCAGCTCAGGGTCAAACTCTACATAAATGCAAGCGCTTGTCGTTATGGCAGAGTATCAATCTGGGAGTTTAAAGCATTAAATCAATGATTCATAGAACTGAAAATACAGCAAACTGACAAAATGGATAGTGCAGAATTTGAAAGTGACACCATAAAGTAAGTCCTCCGTTGTGTTACAGTGCGAGCTACGCAATGGATCTTATAAATGCCACACACCATTTCTCAAGATTGATATAACTGGGCTCATTTTCTGATAAACAAGAACTTCCTAGTAAACTTTTTTTTAATAACTACGATTTTAATGGAACACGAAAATCCAAACACTGTAGATGACCTCATTTTTATAGATTACTTCCCTCTTTCCCCTCCCGCTCTCATTCTCTAATGTTTATACCAGTGGTGGCCAACAAAATACATGTTCTTTATTGAATATTTCTTGATTTACGCCATGAAAAGAAACATTCAAACAAGAAAAAATTGAAAACACACTGCCGATCGAATACAGACTTACCTAGACTCGTGCGAATGTTCGAGGCGGAGGGCTGCTTCTGGCGGCCCCGGTGGGCCATTCCCGGCCCCGCGGGGCCACAGGTTGCCCACCACTGGTTTATACCATCCAAAACCCCCTTTGATAACACCACCGCTGTCCCCCCCAAAAAAAATGGCTCGGCAGCCATGCAAATTGATTATTATTTATGTTATTAGTCATCGAATGATGCAAAGAGCACAATGTTCTCATGAGACTCAATGAATTTGGTGCAAAAAATGAGCCTTTTTTTCAAAAAAAGCGAATAAATAGAAACGTATAAAAACTAAAGCCTTACTGTAAGAAACCAAAACGATCCGTGACTTTATAGATATGGAATTCCGCATCTTCCCACGGATCAATCTTTGCTCCTCTCGTCCCTGAAACAGAATAAAGACATTACTTTTTGACACTCGCTTTTGAGGTAACAGTGCTGCACATCAACCATTTCATTTTAGGGATGAAATCATTTGAAATAAAAATATTCCTTACATACACAAGGTTCAGCAAACGTACCTAAAACGCCACAACCAAAATAAACCATTTACAGAAGCCGAAAAAAAATATTTTTAAGGAGGACCTTTTTCCTATTAGTGTTCCATGAAAATACCAGACATTAGTTCCACAGAGTGGTGAAAGGCAATGTCAGTGAGTGAAAGACAACGAGTGACAATCTTCTGTCAACTTCATACCAGGCAGCAGAGAAGCCTGAAGGGACCTGTTCTTGCCTACCACTTAGGCAAGGAACTCAGTGTGGCATTTATAAAGGCCATTAAAGTTGGAATAATAATAAATAATAACCCTACATTCAATAGTCCTACAATGTCCTGGGGGGAAAGTGGGGGGGGGGGGGGGGGAGGGGAAGAGAAGGAAGGAAACGTCTCAAAGCACTGTTTAAAGTGCTTTTTACTGTTTAAAGTGTACTGACAGGGTATTTTGTAGGCAAACGTGGCAGACGATTTGCGCACAGCAATGTTCCAGACAGCCATGAAATAAATGACCTATTTTATTTGAGGATTGTTAGCCAGACAACTTGAGAATCTCCATTCTCCTTTTGAGGAGTGACATCTGACCTCGGTACAGCATCTTATTGGAAACATTTTTTTGATCTGTGAAATAAAATCCCTGGTATTTTGAGGTCTTTTTTTTGCCAAAAATGGAGGAGAGAAATCAAAGGAAAAATTGGGGTCAAAAAAGAGAAAAGGGTGAACTTACTGAAAGTTGTATACATCAGAACTTGCGCCCAAACTTTCCAGAATAAATAAGCAGGATAAGAAAGTGTGCAAATTCTGTTTCAATTAATCTCTTGGGAATTTCCATATAGAGGTGGGATGCATGTTTGGTTTGCTTATTCTTAAACATGGAGATGGGTTTCCGCATTAAGTCGGAAAAAAAATACATCTATGAATATCTTACAAATTGACCACTTTAAGTTGGGTTATTGCATTGTAATCACATTTATTGATTATATTTTTCAGCAGTTTATTTCACATCGTGATTTACAAAACCTTAAGGTCCTGATCTGAAAGGCACTCTAACTTTAATATCCTTCAACTTCTTATCTGCTTGAGATGATCCAAGCAGACGGCTGGTTTCATTTTTAGACGTTGAACATGACAACTCATTAGCTACTCAACTATAAAAAGTGATTCAGTTTCTCATTAACATCTACACAAATTACATAGAGAATTAGATGAGTTTTATATCATTATACATATATAAATCTTACGCATTATTCCTGTCACTTCTCTAACCTGAGGAAAATCATGCTCTAGATGTAAATCTACCTTGATCAAAGCCAAAAACATTAAGAGCTCAATCATGAAAATAGTCAAACCAACACAGCTTTTCCAGAAAGGAAACAATTTTAGCTTAAAGGCACTTCTTGTATGAGCGAAAACATTGTAATATTATATAATTGCACGATGGATTTAAATGTTCACACTGCTGCATGAAGTACATTAACATTTACAATTTGAACAAAGATGATTATGACATTAAATCATCTTACATACGGTTATTAGTTGCACACTTAAACTATCCATTTCATTAACTGTGAAATGTTTTCTTGTGAATCAACATAAGATTCCAGTGTGGCTCTGAAGTAAAATAGCATCAGTTGCATGGGCATCGTCACCCTACAGGCTGTTCACAAAGCCAAGTTACCCTCTGTTTTCTTTCTTACAATGGATTTTTATTTTCTGTTGCAGACAAATTGCGTGTAGCGACGTCTGATACCAGTAATTCTTAATCACTCCATCCATGGTACTTAAGATGTCGCACCGAACACGGCGACGGATCGTTATCTGCTGTGAAAATAATGGCACTCACACACGCGCCCACACACCCTCTGGATGTCTAAATACAGTTAAAACACTTGTACTGAATACAATCAAGTACAATTATCATCATTCTTCTACATGTTTCAGTGGTTGGTCAGTGCACTGTGTTAAAAGAAACATGGGGGTAACAGGACTTTGTGAACACCCTGTACAATACCTCTATCAGGTGCCATTCCTTTATGTGCAACAACTTTAATGTTCACGTGATGCCCAAAACATGTCAGTAGGCTATTCGGCTGTGGGTATCACGTAACCATTAAAGTTGTTTATGATCCACAAAACAACCTCGGGATTTGGGGGGATTTTCCCAAGGGTCAATTTTTCACGTATAAGAAAACTGTGCAAAAAATCACAAAAAAAAGCGGTTACATTCAGTGAAATTTGGTAAAATTCTACCACTGATTGCATTTTGCGTAATAGCCACACCACAACCAACTGGCTCTTTCACTATCAGGTCTCCAGCAACAAACATGACTGATTCTAGTGCCGAGAAACGTACCTCTGCTCCAAGAATACAGCCTGAAGCAAGTTACTTATGTACATTGCATGATCACAGAGTCTGCGATTTCAGTGCTGATCACTTAAATGGCTGAACTGCAATGCACACCCATCCCCAAAGCTGAAAATGTCCTCAAATCTTTTTTTTTTAACAATCAACTCTTACTAAATATTCCCGGCATTTATGATGGAAAAGTATAGGAAAGAAACCTTCAAGTCTTAACAGCCTCTAAAAATCCCCCAAATTAGCTAGACCTTTGTGACAGCATTCATTTGTTCTCGTCTTGGTCGGTCTTACATATCCCCTCATCTACCCATTCCGTGATGAAGAGTCGTACTGAAACATTATCTATCATTCATTCGCTGATTGAACTGCTGTGTAATTCCAGCATTTTGATTGTATGTCAGCGTTTCAGCATCTTACAAGTTGGCTAGCCTTCTTGATAAGTTTCAAGCCGACATGGCAGTGAATAATTGAAATCCAAATCCCCATCTCGTTCCTGATGGATACTCCATCATGTACACACGTCGTACATTTCTTGTCCCAGTGTGCTATCCACATGAAAATCCATCCGTCATTACTCATCTTGTCCCCAAATCCTTCTAAAGCTCTATAAAGTCTTCACTTACCCATACATACAATGATATATTTGAAAATAAATTGTTAGGTCTTTGCTCGCTTGTAATATGAAATATATCCTTCATACCCCACAGCAACAACAAATATTTGGTGTTTTTAATGGCTTCACCGAAAAAAACACGCAGCTGTATTCAATCCTTTCTTCTTTTCATTTCATTTGAAATCTTTTGAAATCATTTGACAAGATTTAGGTCAAGGCATTCCAAGGTGATTGGAAACAAGTTTGATCCCATCATTCCACTGAATTACTGATCTACGCCTCATAATTGTGGTAAACCTAGAAACCTCCATAAATGGAGGGAAGCAGTGCAATGAGAGAAACTCGAGCATGACCATTACAGGGCATCCCTCCTGTATATTCGGCAAAATCACATCTTAAAGCTTAATTTCCCACCATGGGCAGAGTATGGGCTGTGTTTTACACCTACATCGATGCTGAAGAACAATATGACTTTCAACTTCCTTTTAGAAAAATCAAAACTAATATTTAATATTAGTAATATTTTAAAGAAGCGAAAAAAGAACAATTGGTATGAAGAACGGATCCCCATCCAGCATTTAAGTACACAAGTTATTATTAACAGTTAAGGTGCTGCTGTGTGTCTACAGCATTTGGACAGCTTTGAAACTTCAACTGGTAAATCTTCAGTCAGTTTCTTGCCTAATGTAGCTCCAACATCCAAAAAAACAGAAGTCAGGGCAAGTCAGGAATAACCTCTGCAGTCTCCAAATCGGCCAATTCCACCACTTGCTCCGAGATCTCGTGTAAACCCAAATCCTCAAACTATGGAGTCTAGATCCATAGTCTAGACTAGGAACCCTCCGTTCCTCTGGCTCCGGTCTGCTCCACATCCCCCGCCCCAACCGCCCTACCATCGGTGGCCGGGCCTTCAGCCTCTCAGCCCCGAGGCTCTGGAACTCCATCCCCCAGTGCCTTCGCCGCCTCCTCCCTTTCCTCCTTCAAGGCCGGTCTCAAGACCTTTCTCTTTGACCGTGCCTTCAGCTCCCCTCTCGACTCTCTACCCCCTCCTCGCTCCCTCCCTTCCCTCCCCTCACCCTGACCATTTCCCCCCAATGCCCGGGTCCTGACCCAACTGTCCAGCGCCTTGGGACGGCCTCCCGACGTGAAAGGCGCTCTATAAATGGAATCCTGTTGTTGTTGTAGATCAGCTGACCTCAGCTGTTGGTCAGTGAAGATTTGCTAGGCACAGAGGAGCACAAAGTCAGACACTCCTTAATAGGAGAAGCACTCCTCCAACATCAAAGAGATTGGCTCAAAATCAGGAACAGCACACAGCATAGCTTCGATCAGCATAGCTCACACCAGGTCTGTTAACCCGGTGACTAAGCTGCCATTCCAGTGCAGTACTGGGGAGATGCTGCATTGTCAAAGGTGACGTCATTTGGATGAGATGTCAAATTGAGCTTCCGTCTGCCACTTCAAATGGTTGTTGAGCGGATGACGTAATAGTTGGCGAGGACACCGGATAAGATTCCTTTAAATTTTCAAGTGCTGTCATGGAACCAGTTTGTGTGACATTCATGCTACCTTTGCGTAAAATTATCCAACCATCACATGGTCTGTGAAGCGCTTTAAGATGTTTGTAGCTCCACGTAAATTTGTGTTATATGAAAATAATAATAATCTTTGCATTTGATATAGCACGTCGTTGAGACATCTCAAAGCGCTTCACAGAATATGCATGTAAAGTGAATTGACTGTATAATTTGTCGGCGAAACTTGGCAGCCAATTGCGCACAGCAATGTCCCACACCAGATATTTATTTATTTTTTTGAAGGGACTATCACCTCCAGAATGCGATCTGCCAATTGACTAACCTGTTTCCGACTTGGTGCTAGGTAAACAGAGGGTGTGGACAAAGGAAACCAAACCCGGGTCCTCTCGCTTGCAAGGCAAGTGCTCTAACCAATACGCTACAGGATTCCACGTTACTACCAAAATCTTAGGTTTGAGACCACTTTATGGTTTGTTCCTTTATAAACCAACCATTGCTTCAGTTGCATAGCGGATACATGATTGCCCAAGTGCAGTACAAGATGAAAAATGCTAACTGAAGAGCAAAAACAGTTCAAACCCAGTAAAGTTACAGTATGCCAACATTAAAAACACCACTTCGTCAAACTTAAAACAACTCGAGTAAAACCAGAGCTGAACTGCAGGGTCTTTCCAATCGAAACACAGGAAAATAATCCAATGTTGCTCCCATTAGCTCCGTCAACAGGAAATGCCAACAGCGTCTAATCTCAACACAAAATCAAACAGAACTGCTTTAAAGACCCAGTGCAGGAAACAAAATTAACTATTAGCATGCTTAGCCTAGTAGATAAAGGCCTTGAAAAGCACGAAGGCATCAGACTAAAATGTCAGAGAATGAGCTAATATCAGCATTATTGCCTTTAACTGTTCCGAGGCTAGGGGGAGAGAGGGGGGAAGAGACAAATTAACTGAAACTTGTACTGGGGAGCCAACATACTGGATCAGGCCTCCCTGTGGTGTCATGCATTACGTCAACAACTGTTGATCAGCAAATAATACTTCACTTTTGAATCTTACACAATTTATGCAGAGGTCCAGGCAACAATCGACTTATCAAGAATTTCAAAATCAGAAACGGGCAAAACATTGCCGCTTGCGATGTGTGTGGCTATTTGGAACGGTATTGAATTTGGAGGTGCATCTGAAACAGCGTCCAATTCCTGAATACAACAGCAACAACAAATTACATTTGTATAGTGTCTATCATGTCGAGAGGACGTCCCAAAGTGCTGCATTAGCAGTACAACAACAACTTCACTTTATAGCGCCCTCCACGCAGGATAGAGTCTCGGAGCGCTTAACAGTGGCGGAGCCTGACTCCGAGCCAGGGGTTGGGGGGGAGGTGGCCATAAGCACGGTTGAAAAGGAAGGTCTTCAGGGGGCACTTGAAAAAGGGCAGAGAGTAGGCAAGGAGGAGGGACTGAGGGAGAGTGTTCCAGAGTTTCGGGGAGTAGTGGCTGAAAGCGCAAACTCCGATGGTGAGGCGGAGGTGCAAGGGATGAGCAGGAGGTTGGTGCCAGTCGAGCGGAGGCACCGGGTAGTGGATTGGGGAGTGAGACGTAGGGAGGGCATAAGCTTAAGCATAAGGCATAAGGGAGGGCATAAGCTTATGCAATAAGCAGAAGGATAAGCAGATGCCTGACTTAACTGAGTGAAATTCTTGCTTCGCTCATATTCTTGCATGACAGCCTGGCCACATCACTTTACTTTTGAAGAGGACAGACACTGACACTGGGTAAGACAGCCCACGCAGTCCGCTGACTTTCACAGCTTTGCACTGTTAACAAGTCCAACAATAAAAGCTGGGTTTTCTGCTGTCTGCTTAACAAACTGGAGATGCAATATCTATCACGAGACAGATACAGGGTTTACTAATTGTTTGCTATACTTGGACCGAGCTCCCCATTTTCTTGCCTGATTGTACTGATTGCAATGCTTCCACGTTAAGAGCCAAACAAAATTGAGAGAGCATTAAGACAGGGCAAAGTGCATTGATTGGGTGAACAAGAAGTGCGACATACTGATGGTTGGTACACTGAGCCAGTATTCATAAAAAATTTTGATGCATTCCTCATTAAAGGAATAAGCGCATTATCGTAGGCCAAAGGTCAGGCATTGTGGGGAAATATAAAGTTCTGTAAAGCATTCTAGTCATTCCACTTATATCTCTATTGGCCAAGTAACCTATTAGGTGTCAGTCGGCCTCGGTTGAGCAGCACTCGGAGTCAGAAGTTTGTGGATTCAAGCCCCACTTTGGGACTTTGAACTCACAGTCTTAACTGATCCTCCAATCCAGTGCTGAGGGAGCATCACATTGCTGGTGCCATCCTTCAGACAAGACATCAAACTCAGATACCATCTGCCTGTTCATGTTCAGGTGGATGTCTAAGATCCCATGGCACAAATCAAAACGTGGAGGAAGTCTCCCCACATGTCCTCGCCAACAATTCACCAGATAAATCGTTTTGTTTAAAAATAGTAACTACAATTCATAGTCATTTCTGTAAAGCACTTTCAGACGTCCTTCCAACATGATAAGGCGCTGAATCAAAGGATTATTATTATTATTTATAAAACAGATTATTCACCTTACAGCTGCTTGTGGACCTCATGTGCTATTGGCTACCAAATTGCCCTACACAACAATAATAATCCTTGCATTTGATATAGCGCCTTGTCACGTCTTCTAGACGTCTCAAAGCACTTCACAGAATAGATTGTAAAGTGAATTGACTGTATACTTTGTGGGCGAAATGTGGCAGCCAATTGCGCGAAGCAGCGTCCCACAAACAGTCGTGGATTAAAGTGACCAACTTATTATTGTTTTTTTTCTTGAGGGATAATTATTGGGCGTGGGGAGTAAGGAAACCTGCTCAAGGTTTCGCCCTGCTGGGAATCGAACCCAGGTCTCACACTTGCCAGGCGAGTGCCCTCACCACTGAGCTACAGGACTCCAATGCACTTTACAGTAAATTTTGTGAAGCGCTTTGAGACGCTCTCCTGATGTGAAAGGCACTATAACAAAGGGTTTTTGTTTATTTTTCAAATTTGGTTCTGCTGGCAACCTGGATCAGAAGGTTGCAGATTCTCTGTACAAAATAGGACTCGAGTTCATAGTGTAGGCTAAAACTCGAGTGCAGTCCTGGGGGTAAGGGGGGGAATACTGCATTGTCGGGATGCCATGCTTCAGAAGTTATACTGAGGGCTCATCTGCCACGCTTCAGGTGGATGTCCAAGATCCCATGACACCATTCGAAATGAGACAGACATTTCTCCGAGGTTATTAGCCAGAGATCCTCCAAATGGTCATTCATCTCTGTGGAACCTTGCAGTATCCAAATGACTGCTACAATTACTTATAGTCACTACACTTGACAACCACTGCATTAGTCTAAGGTGCTGTTAAATATTTTGATGCAATAAGGCGCACCAAAATATTTAATAGCACCTTACACTCACTTTCCTAACACAAAAAGTGGGTAACCACTTTTGTATTTACGACACGAGAACTCCCGTTTTATTAAAGGAATCCATTCTAACTTTGGGAAGGGATAGGATTGTCGGCCACAGATTTGTTGGATTCTGTTAAGTGCGCATCTTGAACTGATCCAGCTTGTATATCTCACCAGAGGGAACAAACAAAAATAAGGATATGTTACTATGCAACAAGAGGGAGAAAATTGGAAGCTTAACCCAATACCAAATAACACAAACAAGCTTGACGGAAACTGACATTTTAGATGTACCGCTTCACATACATGTCTCCAGCTTCTGACAAGGAAAAAAAACAATACTGCTGCAATAAAGGTACTAAAAGGTTAGACTCGATTTACTGCTGTGTTAAATCAACTCTAAATACAAAAACTCATGTTAAAATTAAATGATAATAGCGAATAAGGTTTTTTCCCTCTAATTTGGGTAAAAAAAAGCTGATTCATAACAAATTAGATGCGAGAATCCCCCCCTCCCCCCAGTGTCAGTACAATGGTTTGATCCAGAGTTTAGTTTCAAAATTCAATTCCACAATTGGTACTGTAGTGAAGAAATTTTGGGGTGGAACCTTTGTGCCATGTTTGCAGGAAGGAGCTTTTTGCCCTCAAACCAGTTATTTAAATTTGATGAGATAAAATCGTTTATGAAACATCACATTTTTCACCCAATTATATGCAGAGACTAGCAACATGCTTATTAGACAAGTAACGTCCCTCAATCCCTCCACCTTGTCCCCTCCTTCTCCCTTTTCAGATCGCGCCTGAAGACCTTCCTCTTCGACCGTGCTTACGATCACCTCCTCCACCCACCCTCCCAGCTCGGCGTTAGGCTCCGGCACCGGCACTGTTAAGCACTCTGAGACACTACCCCGTGTGAAGGGCGTTGTATAAATGCACGTTGTTATTGTGACATTTTTAACACCCAGGAAAACAATCATCAATGTCTACCATCCCATTTAATTAACTGCCAATCAATAAAATAGGTTGTGAATAAAAATAGCTGCTTAAAAGGGAACATTTCCTGAGATAACAGTTAATTAGCCGTGTTTTGCATAGCACTTGCTAGATAGGATCAGCAGTTGACTTTATCTAATCAGTTCACTATTAGACACAGTATTATACTGTGTAGTTTAATTGTGCAGACACACACATACACACACAAACACAGACTTACTTACACATAAAAGTGGCAGAAATAGAGCACTGCATATCACTAGATGAGGTTTATAAGCACTGGCTAACCAACAGTTTAAACCTCGCTTAAAAAAAAGTTTTATTCCTTGAGATATTCTGGTAAGAAATTCAATGGCAAACGGAGGAAAACTTGTCATTTGCTGGGAAGCAGGTACGCAATTCTTCATTCAAGTACGCTTTCAAACATGAAAAGCTTCCTAGGTTTGTATCAGATGAGCAGAAGTTGAAGGCAGTATTTATTCATTCAGTGAAATTTCTCACAATCTTTTAAGCATGTAATACAAAAACACTCTGTTTTAATCATCTTAGTTACTCTGATAGTCCATATCGGATAGAAATTCCAAGTCCGACAGGCAGTAAGTAAGAAGCAACGAGACAAGACAGTCTCACACAAACAGTATATGGTGAAGCTTTTACCTTGTCATACTTCGACACTATCTCGGCTCTTTCCTGGGCAAGTTTGGTTGCCGCGTCTGGTTCTACATCTGGATCTGCGGGTAAACCAGAAAAGGAATGGGTCAGCATTTCAATTCCTCAGTCGTCTTTATCTAGGCATGTATTATACAAGTCCATTCCAGCTTACAATGAAACTATTACACTAACTGATTGGGAAATAGCCATTTCCTTGTTGATAGCATTACGTAATGAAACAGGGTGTAGCTCTTAGTCATAACTTAGCGCACTAACAAATTCACATACCAGGATGGAAGCACGTCTCCTGAATTTGCTCCGGACTAAACAAATATCTTACCACACACTGAATCACAGGAACAGGGAGCACGGTAAATGATTTCCAGTTTAAGATAAACTCATTTTGTGAGTGGAGAGGTAAAGTTACTTCTGTGTGAAACGATCAGTGTGCCTTGTATCTTTCAATCAAAGAAAACAATAAAAATGAAGATATCATTTCATCTTTCAGACATTCCACTGAGGCTTCTTCTTGGCAAATGATATTACGTGGATATTCCAATTAAGAAGCATCAACTGTACTTCAACTATGAATTTAGCTTATTAGCGGGGTATTTAATAATAATAATAATAATCCTTGCATTTGATATAGCGCTTTTCATGTCAGGAGGACATCCCAAAGCGCTTCACAGAACACACTGTAAAGTGAATTGACTGTATATTTGTGGGCGAACGCGGCAGCCAATTGCGCACAGCAATGTCCCACAAACAGTCGTGGATTGAAAATGACCAATTTATTATTGTTTTTGGTTTTGGAGGGATTATTATTAGGCTCTGTGTGGAGTAAGGAAACTTGCCCAAGGTTTCGCCCTCTGCCGGGAATTGAACTCAGGTCTCTCACTTGCAAAGAGAGTGCTCTAACCACTGAGCTACAGGACTCCACTTTAAGTCAGTTTAGCTGAGAAGCTAGCACTCTCCCATGGACTGCTCAAAGTGCCATGCCTTTGAACTCAAGCAGCTAAAATGTTAGTTACTCCAATATACATACATATATATATATAGTAAGAATTCCCTGCTGAGAACTGATATAATTTTTGTGCGTAAGCATAAGAGACAAGAATATCAATTATCAGGACAAAGCAATCAACAACTTTCATATCACTTGAATATACATAGCATCTTTCCTATAAAATGTCTCAAACACTCAACAATTAGGATTAGGTGGGGAGGCCACCAAGGAGAGAGATTGGAACTTCGGGGATGTTGACCAAAAGCACAATCAATTCATCCAACAAATTTCAAGCTCAGTCTCCAGTGCGTACGCATTCTGCTGATCAATTAATAAATATTAATGACGAGCGGCCTGTCGCAGGAATAGCAAGAACTTTCCACATCGTCTGATCTTTCGTGATCACTCTCCGTTTTCTCACACTCACTTTCGAAGTCTTTAATACTCACTACCAACCCCTCTATCTCGCGCTCACTTTTCACACCTTTCTCACTTGCTCTCCCTTCTCTCACACACTCACTTACAACAACAACAACAAGATTCCATTTATAGAGCGCCTTTCACGTCGGGAGGACGTCCCAAGGCGCTGGACCGTTGGGTCAGGACCCGAGGAGGGGGGAAATGGTCAGGGTGAGGGGAGGGAAGGGAGGGAGCAAGGAGGGGGTAGAGAGTGGAGAGGGGAGCTGAAGGCTGAAGGTCAAAGAGAAAGGTCTTGAGACCGGCCTTGAAGGAGGAAAGGGAGGAAGCGGCGAAGGCACTGGGGGATGGAGTTCCAGAGCCACTTACTTACACCTCCCATGCCCGTTCATTTTTCCGCTCTCTTTTCCCCTCTCTCCCCCCACACTGCTTTCATGCTCACTCTCCCCCTTGCTCTCACTTTCTTCCTCTCTCTCTCTCTCTTTCTCAAACCTTCCGTAATCACTCCCAGGTAAGGGAGTTGTAAATTTGGCCTACGCGTTAAAACAAAAACCCCGATTGTCCAGCGCCCTGGGACATCTTTATGACCTGAAGGGTGCTATGCAAATGTAATTTGTTGTTGTTGCATCGTGAGCATGATCCCCTGAAGCCGAGAAAGGCTCAAGTAGCGTATCAACATTCATGGCCAAGCACGCACATAAATAATGGCAAGCACCACCAACAATAATAACTTGCATTTATTTAGTGCCCCCCATGCGGGGTAGCCTCCCACAATGCTTGGCCAAAGGGCGTCCACATCACCTTGGACCTTGAGTGACCAAATCAATAAAAACAACAAAATTACATTTGCAGAGCGTGTATCATGTCAGGAGGATGTCCCAAAGTGCTGGGATCGGGGTGGATGGAGGATTATTTTTATTAGATTATTATTTTTTCGAAGGGATTATTAGCCCCGGAAAAGCGATCCACCAATCGACTAACAACCGGGTTCTGATTTACTGCTAGGTAAACAGAGGAATGTGGAGTAAGGAAACTTGCCCAACGCTTCACCTTGCCGGGGAATCAAACCCAGGTCCTCACTTGTGAGGCGAGTGCTCTCACCACTAAGTTACAGGATTTCATAAACAGTGCTTATAAAACACACAGCCACTACACTTTACAGTAAATCCTATGAAATGCTTTGAGACGTCCTCCAAACTTGAAAGTCGTTATATCACATGTAAAGGCTCGTATTATTACTCCAAAAATACAAGTTAAACATGTCCAGAACGGTTAATATAGGCCCAAAAAGTTTAAAAAATATAGCTGGTGGTAATGAGTCAAATAACAAATCCATCAGTATGGGACACCTTGGCAACTAGAAGCATCAAAACAGGGCACTTGGGGGGAAAAATTCCACTTAGGTTTAGATTTACTCAATTGACATAGTATTTCAGAGTGTACAGAATTTGATGAAAATCTTAAATAGAGCCATAAATTTTAAGCTGGTTTTCCTTAAGTTTTCTTTTGCAAAATATAGGATTTATTAAGTGTCATGTATAAACCATGTACAAACGTAGCTGTATTATATATGGACTGTGTAAATGTTCACACAGAGTGAATTACAAGCGCTCTTAATTAACCAATGAACAGAAGTATATAATTAACCCTTCCTTCTAATTACTTACATAATTAAGGTCATGCACGATTCCTTCTGTACCCGTACACATGGTTTACAGGAGGCATAACACAGTTGTGCTTACAGTTTATATGCAGTGAATAATTGCGCCCAATATTTGACATATTTATGAATATATTGACAATAGACGACTGTCCTTAAAGTACCAAGAACTAAGCATAGCCCCCTGCTTCAATAACATTCCAAGGACAGAAAAAGCAAAGCGAGGAAGGACATTTACGAACTGTGTATCAAACATTTAGTGCGTTTCAAAAAGGCAATTACTGTTATTGGAAAAGACAGTGGGGAAACTTTGAGTGCAGCCAGGGCCAAAGGTATCAATAAAAATTGCTAATAACAAGAAATATCCTGCCACAAATGCCATACGTGAGAAATATGGGAATATACAGTATATCTCTAAATGTGCTTCAGATTGTATCCCCTATTTCATGCAGACAGTTCTCACCTAAGCAGAACATGCCGGCTCCTTGTACGTGAATTCCTTATGATCCTTGGGAGACTGGCCCAGACATGAGGGTTGCAAGCAAATAAACTGCAGATGTCATCCTGCAGGTACACTGCAGACTACCTTCACATTTCCCCGCAAAATGTGCTGAGGCTGGAATTGTGCGATCTTGTTCAGTCAGCCAGAGATTTTCAGCAAACCCGCAAGAAAAAAAGAACTGAATGTGAATTATCTGCAACTGGACATAATTTGTTCTACAATTCCAAGCATCAATTACACCGATGACCTCAGAATAACTACTTTGTGCGTTCAGGAATGCATTGTAATGTGGTTCATCGCAATGCGGGTCATTGCTAAATAGTTCTGTCCCATTCTATGCACTTTAGACGTCCGATTGCAGCTTCTTGGAAAGATGAATTGTTTTCTATATAAAGGTATATAGGTTATGGCTTATTAGAGTTACATCCCATAACATGTTGACATTGCAATCTAGCACTTGCGTTCAATAGCATTATACTGTATATAAATTGATTATAAATAAGTTTGTCAGATCCATGCAATGTGATGGTTCAGTCTCATTGCCTTGTAAACAGTATGCAGTTAAAAGTGACTGTCATTTGCTGTTCATTGAAATGATATATTTCAGTCTTTGCAAGACTATTACGCATGTATAATCCAGATGTGACAAAATATAGTTACAACAGAGAAGCGCTATATGAAGCGCTCTGAAATAAAATGATGCATTGTGCTAAGTCTGTGTGGAAAGTCTGACTTTCTTTTACATTATATTTCCACACTGCAAACAAGAACCTGATATTCACAGCTCCACTTAAGTTTACAGTGTCCATTTAATTTATGATGCACAGTACAGTACAATGTTCCCTTCACAGAGAGTGGGAATATTTTAAGCATAATATAACTAAACACTAGCTGTCGTCTATTCTTCTAATGGAAGCAATTAATTCTTAACCCAAAATTCTGTATACCTAGCACTAAGTAGGAACTTGCTAGTCGATTGGCGGATCACTTTGCAGGGGGTAATAATCCTTCAAAAGAAAATGTGGTCACTCAATTCACGACTGTTTGTGGAACGCTGCTGTGCGCAATTGGCTGCCGGGTTTCACCCACAAATACAGTCAATCCATTTTAATATATTCTGTGAAGTGGTTTGAGACGTCTCAATGACCTGATAAGGTAATATATCAAATTCAAGGACTATTAATATTGTAGAGAATACCAGGTAAACATAAACGTAAACATAAACCAGGTAAAAAAAAACTTATAAAGTACTTGGAAAGAATGAGTAAGAGTGAGAAGTGGTTATAGGTGATATAAAGCTTGGGGTTCAAAATCCTGTCGAGCGTAGGAACAAAAGGAGTTTGAGTGAGGCAAGAATATCTATAGTCTTGAGCTTCTGGGGGAAAAAAGTAAAGTATTGTGAAAGAATGAGTTAAAAATAAGAGTGTGATGAGATTTGATTTCAACACAATGTCAAAGAAAATGTGTAGAGTGATGTATTTGAAGCCACGGAACA